CTATGCATGTCAAACTTTTAGCTAGTGCATGTCAACTGTGCAGCTAGTGGCACTTTCTTTCACTTTGTCTTCATCTGAGAGGATCGTCAAGACTGTGGCCTTTATGATACGGGAATCAGCCATTAGTAACAAGGGCATCGCTACTAGGAGCAAGGACGCTACTAGTAGCTCCTGGCATTACCACTAGTAACAAGAAGCTACTAGTAACACACGCATCGCTATTAGGAACAGGTGCAACGCCACAACATGTTCAGATTGTGGTGGCCTCAACGTCCAGTTTGAATCGTACGCTGTGGCGAGAAAGCGTTGCGACGAAGGCGGTCGTTGCTTCATCATCGTGCCAGCTGCTTGTATGGACTTCGAAGATGTAATCCCGGAGCTGCAAGCCTGCAGGTCTATATATAGATGCAACAGGTATTTTGTTTCCTTCACTTCAGGCCCAATTCACAACCAGCAAGAGTTTAGACGAAGGCACCACACGTCTTCACTGCAAAGTCTCCCGGTGTTCTACAACGAATCCTACGCATTTTGACAGAAAACAAGAATCCAATTGACGAGTGCTGCAGTTGTGCCTTGTGCGGAGAGCTTCTGTAAATGTGGTCGAATGGTACACCGACCGCCGAGCTCATCTTCTGCCTCGCTTTCTCACGCGCATTGCAGCTCAGAATGGAAGAGGAAGTTGACGACAGAACGGTGGAGTGTCCAACTTGAGGAAATTGCCCTGCAGGCATTCCATCAGCAAGCCTCCACTAGATCTGCCTTTGCAGATCACCAAGAAGCCTGCTCTACTTTTCTAGAGCCAGCACCAGCAACGACTCAAGCATCAACCGCTTCAGTGAACTTCGGTGCACCACACACGGAACGATGGTCATGCCTTCCCTGTTGTTATCTGGCTGGAGTTGTCTGCTTTGTCTAGGTGCTTGGACACGTGGATCTGCAAAACAAATATCTTTTGCGCCTATCCTGAAGTTTTAGGCTTGCCTACTAATTGTTCCAGCGAAAGATCGTGGACACACAATTCCAGATTAGGAACACAAAACGAAAAAGTTGGGCAAACAACTGAGAAGTGGAAACCAGATAGCCTTGCGAAGGTTCCAAGATACACTAGAAACACCTAGGTCGCGCAGGTGCTGCGTAGATTTTGTTTAGGACGTGTCCGGAAACATCAGCACAACATCTTGAAACCCCCGCCAAAAGTGTGGTCTGATCTTAATCCAAAGCTACTGGCCATGTTTGGAGCCTGGTTTGAAGCTTCTTGTGAGCAATTGTCCATTTGGAGACGGATACAACATGGACAAAGGAAAACGGATAGACCTGACCACTCAGGGCGACCATTGTCGGTTTAATGTCTCTCATACTACTTGTAACCAGTGCAGTCCACACCTTTCTTGTTATGCTGTCAAGGCACACGGAAAACAACTACTATACTGAGAAGTCAATGGCAGGTCAAAAGGAAAATGTGTCCAAAGGAAAGTGCCCGTTTGGCAACCCCACCCTGTGAAAGGAAAGAAAAGGAACCTGTTCCAGAGCTTGGGTGAGAAGAAAAACACATATTGACGACGACTGCCTTTCAATCAATGTCAATGGGTAGTCTAAAACAGCCTGATTCAAGGATTGAAAACACAATTGATCTTGTTGGACCACAGAGTCGCACAGGTCCCGCCAAAGTGTCTGTCCAGTGTTTCTTTGGACCAAAAGAATCTCCTAATCGACCAAGTGAGGTTGCTAGTAACGGGTGCATCGCTAGTAGTAACAGGTGCCTTACTAGTAGAAACAAGAAGCTAGTAGTAACAAGTGCCTTACTAGTAGTAACAATAAGAATTTAATTCGACCAAGTGAGGTTGGATTCAGTATTTCGTCCTTCTGCGAAAGCAGCGGGGGCCATGCAGCGGCACCGCTGATCTTGACAGCAGTGCGGTAGTATGCTCCACCACCAGGCCATACAACAATTATTTTGATTTTATCATGCTATGGTAAATGATAGTTTTCCAACGAACCGGGCAATTGGCATCTTTGAAAAGAGACACATGCATATGGTTCCAAGTAACCATCCTAGAAATCAGAATTCCAATCTTCCACTTCAGCACGCAGCTTAACCTTTCTGGTGATGATCCCTCCTAAGATTTGGTGACTTGCTATTCATTAGGGACCGGGGTGCCATCCCTGAAACGAACAGCATGCCCTCTGTTAGTGGTCGTTGCCACACGCTTTGACTGGCTGAGCCTTAGTCTGAAGTACTCTGATTCCACCTCTACAACATGATAGAGTGTACGAGTATCTTTACTAATGAATACAGTGTCATCAGCGTGAAGGAGTTCCAAGGAAGAGATGTGGTCAAGTTTTATGTGGCTAAGCCCTCTGTAACGTTCCCGATGAATGTCCTCAAACATGACTAAATAGTTAACACAAGAAAGGTAAGGACTGAGTGGACCATCCAGACAAGTTCCAGCTTGCTGAACGTATGCGCCGGACTTAAACTTGTCGCGCCTCACCGCTGGACGGGAATAATTACCAAGCTTCGATGATACCGATCATCTTCGGGGAGCGGCCTTTTTTTCAAAGATTTGATCATGCGGTTGTGGCTGAGCTTCCAGTGTCTAGGATAAACAAATCACTTCCGCTTTGTTCCGCAGTGTTTTCTATGCGTCTTGCTATGTACAAGTGGTCGTTGCATCGCACTGGTCGGAACCAATCTGAGTGGTCGGAAGGTATGGGTCGATCGCCTCCGCCATCCCTGTAAAATCAAGCTGAAGATCTTGGGTTTCTATTAACAAGTGCGTCGCTACTAGTAACAAGTGCCTTACTAGTAGTAACAAGAAGCTAGTAGAAACAATATATAAATTAGAAACTAAGATAGTTTCCTATTAGGTTGGAGGCCATCGCTAGTAGGTTGGAGGCCATCGCTATTAGAAGCAAAAAAACAGAACGGTCTAATATAGTCTGCTATTAGCTTGGAGGCTCTTCGCATCGCCTGTTCCAGCACTAGGTTAACAAGGATAATTTGCGATGCCTTGAGTGCTTCTTGTTACTACTAGTAAGGCACCTGTTACTACTAGCGTGGCACTTGTTACTACTAGCTTCTTGTTACTACTAGTAAGGCACTTGTTACTAGAAGCGATGCACTTGTTCCTAGTAGCGTCCTTGTTCCTAGTAGCTTCAGGAGATGCTGAGTGCTTTCCTTTTTTTGCAAATGAAGACCATCATTGCTTTGAGATGTTCGTCGGGGATGGATTGATGTATAGAATGTTGCAGTGAGATGTGACAGGGCATGACAGTATCGATACTCAAATGGTAAATATAGTTTGCTATTTGGTTGGAGGCCGTCGCTAGGAGGCCATTGCTAATAGAAGCAAAGATCTAAAGTGAGATGAGCCCTGGATGTTTTTCTTTGTTCTTCTTGATGGATCGGATATTCATGCCAACATCCTGCTTCTGCTTGTTGAGCTTACTTTATTCCACGCCTGTCCTTACATTTTGGAAACATACTCTTTTTGATCTCACACGCTTAGCACCTTCCCACTTTGCTTTGGCATTTTGGCACTGCCCCAGAAATCTCAGCAATACAGTATTTTTTCTTATCCCGTGATTTTTGCAAGCCAAGCGCTGGCTGAAATGTATGGTAGCAGTGAAGCAATATTCCACGGCTTGCTCAATTGCTTGCAGGACTGTGTGTAGTACTGTGTGGATCACTCTTTCGAGCTTTCCTTGATCTCAGTGCTGAACTGTGCCTTTTGTTAGGGTCGGCTCCCAGTATTGCCCGTTGCCTTACGGTCGCTTGTAACTGCACGCGGCAGGCACCTGTGGTGAGCACAAGAGCAAACGAGCAACAGGCTTTTTGACTGACCTCAAACCTGTCAGACTGTCTCTATCCTGACAGCCCATCTTTGGGGTGTCAGAATCAAGCGAAAGCCAGACTCATTCTGCAGACTTCTGGGCAAGCGCGAATACTCTCGCGATCTCCTGGAGCGGTTCAAAGCGGGTATTTCAACTGATGTGAAACGTGTTCTTTCTCTGATATGAAATGAATTGAACATCTCAATTGAAATGATTCACCCCCCAAAAAAAAACAACAAACACTTCTCATGTGTTCTTTCTCATGACTTCTTTGGTGGTTCTTCGCTCCTTCGTTGGCACACCTCCCTTCTTCGCCGCATCACGGGCTTGCTTGATTGCAGCGGGATCTCCAGATCTGGGCAACAAAGGCAGTTCTGCCAGGAAGGTCTAAAAATTCAAACACAAATAAACACAAGCACAAAAAACAAAACAACAACGATATAAGAAAAGTATGTATTGAATAAAAACAACACAAATAAGAAAGAAGATATCGAAAGCATCCTATAGCTATGGCAAAAGCAAACCTACATTGGCATCTTGGGGCCCGGCGCGGCGGCTTCAGCAAAAGCATCCAATAACTGCTCCTGTCGGTGAACCTACTAGCGATGGCCTACACCCTAGTAGCGATGGCCTCTATTTGTTGCTTAGCATATATTGTATTTGAATCTTGAGACCTTTCTCTATGAATGTATGTCTCTCTTTTCATGTTTTTCCTGAGACATTTCGAACTTTCAGTTCTCCTTTCTTTCTTCCTGCTTTTGTTTGGAGAGCGTTTCCCGTATCAGAGGCCCATGTCTTCGTTTGCATGATCCCCCGCAACGCTCAATTCTGGAAAGAATTGTGAGAAGTTTCTGGACTGTCCTCTGGCATACCGATGAGGAAGATTTGACATCGTCGACACTCACACGTGCCGCCAGTCCTGCTCTACCGCGAGCTTCTCTGCCAGCGCAGCCTGTGCCTACCGGTGCATGCGGGCAACGTCCAAACATAAAAAAGCGACAGCTAGCTAGAGTTGAATCACCTTCGCTGTGAAAAAGGAAAGCAAAGCTGGTTTCCCGTCTTTAATCTTCGTAGAGCAAAGGTATTCTGGATCAAATGGCGTGAGGCCTCCTTAAAACGCTTAAAAGCAGCCACTCAAATCCACAAATATCTTTGCAACATCCTTTTTCAACTCATCATCATCTGCAAATGGACTGTGTGAAACTCTCGTCGTCCGCATGGCAATTGTAGTTTGCCAGTACCGTCATTCCTCGACAGAGGACGCAGGGATCCAGCCTGTCAGGGTCAAAGCTGGCTGACAAGAGAAAATGATAGCTGACCTTGAAACGTTAAAACACCAAAGACATAAACTAGTCCGGACATCAAAAAGCAGGAAACAGAACTGAAGGCCACAGATTTGGCTCAGTTCCACCAGCTTCCTGCCTTCACCTCCTGGAAAAGAGGCAAATAAGAAGCCTTCGTCACCCAAGTCTTCAGATCCTGAAATCTCGAGGTACAGTCTCGGACAAACCAAGAGAGAGAGAGAGAGAGAGAGTCGTGGGTTCATCCAAGAGAGTCGTGTCACAAAACAATGCATGCAAAACCAATGAAACTTTCTTGCAAAGAAACGCGTTTGGGTGACTAATAGTGGGGCATACTCAAGTTTGAGGTACGCAAGGTACCGGGTGTTACTGGTAGTCAACAGTCAAAGGCAATTAAGATCCAAACACCACACAACACCAAAACTACAACCTAGTAGCGATGGCTTCCAAATTACTAGCGATGACCTCCAACCTAGAAGAGATGGCCTCCAACCTACTAGCGATGACCTCCAACCTAGTTAGTAGCGATGGCCTCCAACCTAGAAGAGATGGCC